CCAGGCCATAGTGAAAGGGGGTAGGGGTAACTCAGACACTAGACATTGTAAAATTGATAAGAAGGAGGTAGTATTGGATACCCAGTCTGTACTTAAGAGTAGGAAAGACATGAGGGCTAGATGAGATGCATTCAAGGATTCTGAGGGAATTTTTTTACTCTTTCATGGAATGTGGGAGTTGCTGGTAAGCCAAGTATTTGTTGCCCATCCCTATGTACACTTGAATTGAGTTGCTCGTGGGGCTATTTCACAGAGCAGTCAATCATATTACAATGGGATTTGAAATATATGTCCGCCAGACCAGGGAAGATTGGCAGATTTCCTTCCCTAAAGGGCATTATGAGTTTTTGCAACAATCAGTGATAGTTTTATAGTCACTATTACTGGAGATTAGCTTTTAAGTCCATACTACTAAAATATTATTATTGGTTTTAAATTCCACTAGTGTCGATGGCAGGATTTGAACTCTTGCCCCAAGGTGTTCGCCTGGACCTCTTGATTACCAACTTATAACATCCACTAAAACATCACCTTTTCCCCAGACGAAAGTGAAGATTACAGAGGTAGTGGTGTTAATTTTAGTCTTCCTCAGACAGAGAATTTGTAATAATTACACTTTTACTCAAAGAAGGGTGTCAAGGTAAACCCAAAACTACAGCCAGTCAGTGCTACTTCTGTATGAGGTAAATTCTGGAACAATAATTTGGGGCAAAATTAATAGTCCCATGGACAAATGCAGATTAATTAAAGAAAGTCAGCTTGGACTTCTGAATGGAAAATCATATTTAACTAACTTCTTGAAATATTTGAAGAGGTAGCTGAGAGTTGATGAGGGCGGTGCTGTTAGAATGGTGTACATAGACTTCCAAAAGCCATTTAACACAGTACCACACAGCAGATAGTTCAACAAGGGTTATAGCACATGGAATAAAAGGGGCGGTAGCAACATGCTTACAGAATTGGTTGAGTCACAGGAAACGGAGAGTAGGGGTTACATGGAGGTTTTTCAGACTGGAGGAAGGTTTGGAGTGGAGTTCCCCACAGTTCAGTGTTGGGACCATTGTTCTTTCATATATTAATTTGGGCCAATATATTGTAAACATTTAAATAATCTAAATCTTCAAGTACAGGGCCACAATTTCAAAATCTGCAGATGATACAAAACTTGGAAGCATTTTAATAATATAGAAAAGGGCAAACAAGATGGTAGAACAGGTGGACAGATGTCGGATGAGAAATGTAAAGTGATTTATTTTGGTAGGAAGAGTATGAACAGACAAAATAGAATAAAGGGTTCAATTCATATGGGGGTGCAGAGCAATACAAGAGCAGAGAGACTTGGGTTTATATGTGTATAAGCTATCAAAGGTATCAAGACAGGTTGAGAGTGCAGTTAATAAAGCATACAATATCCGAGTCTTTAATAGGACCACTGAGTATGAGAGGAAGGAATTTACTTTGAATTTGCAGAGGATACTAGTTTGACCTAAGTTGACAGCATCCAGTTCTGGGTGCCATTATTAAGGATGTGAAGACATTGGAGTAAATGTAGAAAAGATTCATGTGACTGGTTCCAGGAATGACAAAACTTCAGGTGTGAAGATAGATTGTCAAAGTTAAGACTATTTTCCTTGGATAAAAGATGAGCAAAAGACAATTTGAATGAAGCATTCAAAAGTATGAGGGGTCTGGACAGAATAAATAGTGAGAATTTGTTCCCACTTCTAAAAAGATCAAGAATGAGAGAACACAGATGTAAAGCAAGCCAGATAATGAAAGGAGCAAAATGTGTGAAAAAAAATCATGTAGTGAGAAGTCAAGGGCTGGAATACAATGCCTGAGAGTGCCATGGAGACAGCCACAATTGAAAAGGAAAATAGATTGTCATTTGAAGAGGAAAAATGTGCAGGGTTACAAAAAAAAGTGAGAAAATTGCTTTAATAAGCCATAAATAAAACAAATAACAAATAAAACGGTGGCTGAATGGCCTCCTTCTATGCTGTAAAATTCAGATATTCTGCAAATGAAAATATCTTAGCAATAAGACTAGGCTCTTGAAATTCAGTTCAATATTTCTGTTACTAGTACTGCTTACTACCAGGTGTGGAGCACTTTCTCCAACTAGTTCCAGTCAAAAATCCACCTTCCTGGTTTGCAAAAACAAATTCCTTGAAATACAAACTGGCTTGTGACTTTCTGTAAAAGCAAAATATTGTGGATGATGGAAATCTGAAACAAACAGAGGATGCTGGAGAGACTCAGTAAGTCTTTTCTGAGTCATACCAGACTTGAAACGTTAACTCTCTTTCTCTCTACAGATGGTGCCAGACCTGCTGAGTTTCTCCAGCATTGTGTGTTTGCTATGTATTTCTCTGAGTTTACTGTTTCCAAGTCTGATAATTGCAAGTGATGTCTTTCATCTCCAAAATGTGAAATTGATCAAACGAGTGTAAATCAAAAAGACAAGGATTTCTTCATAAAGACCGAAAGGACTGCAGATGCTATAAATCAGAGACTATAATTGAAATTACTGCAAAAGCTCAGCAGGTCTGGCAGCATCTGTGGAGAGAAATCAGAGTTAACTTTTTGGGTCACGTGATCCTTCCTCAGACGTGGCTAAAAAGATTAACTCTGATTTCTCTCCACAGATGCTGCCAGACCTGCGAGTTTTTCCAGCAATTTCTATTTTTGTCAAGGATTTCTTCATAGCTGACAGGGTTGACTGGTTTCAGTGTCTTTTGATAAAATGGTAATTTCAGTTCAGACTGCCTTTGTTTCTCGTTGGTTTCACGGCTAGCTAACCTGTGATTCTTGTGCCCATTTAAGTCAGTTTATGTTTTCTTTTTTCGAACCATTTTGTTCATGGAAGTTCCAAGTATTTAAGGCCATAGGATATAGGAGCAGAATTAGGCCATTCAGCCCACTGAGTCCACACAGCCATTCAATCATGGCTGATATGCTTCTCAACCCCATTCTCCTGCTTTCTTCTCGTAACCCTTGATCTCCTTACTAATCAATAACCTGTCTCTCACTGTCTTAAATACACTCAATGACTTGGCTTCAACAGACCTTCTGTAGCAATGAATTTCAGAGATTCACCACCCTCCAGGTGTCCTTATAGAAGTTTATAAAATCATGAGGGGCATGGAAAGGATGAATAGCCAAGGTCTTTTTCCTAGGCTTGGGTGTCCAAAACTAGAACGCATAGGTTTAAGGTGAGTGGGGAAAGATAAAAGGGACCTAAGGGGCAACTTTTTCACACAGAGGGTGGTGCATGTATGGAATGAGCTGCCAGAAGAAATGGTGGAGGCTGGTACAATTACAACATTTAAAAGGCGTCTAAATGGTACATGAATAGGAAGGATTTAGAGGGGTATGGGCCAAATGCTGGCAAATGGGACTAGATTAGATGAGTTGGACCAAAGGGTCTGTTTCCATGCTGTACAATCTCTGACTCTGGCTGAAGAAATTCCTCCTCATCTCCATTCTAAAGATCATCCCTTCACTCTGAGACTGTGCCCTCAGGGCCCAGTCTCTCCCGCTAGTGGAAGTACCTTCTCTGTGTCCACTATATCTAGGCCTCTCAGTATTTTCAATGAAATCCCATTCCCCATCCTACTAAACTCCATCAAGTACAGACCTCAACTGGTTGTCATATGACAGCACCTTCACTCCTGGACCAAAAAAACCCAAAGAAAAACAATAGATGCTGGAAATTTGAAACAAAAACAGAAATTGCTGCAAAATCTCAGCAAGTCTGACAGCACCTGTAGAGAGAAATCAGAGTTAACATTTCTGGTCAAGTGACCCTTCTTCAGAGTTGCTCTTTTATTTTATTGCAGTTATTCTATTTCTGGGATGATCAAGGTGCCACAATTAAATGAACATGGATTTCCTCTCCTCTTCTTTCATGGAACATGGGTATCACTGGCAAGTGTAGCATTTATTGCCCATCCCTATTGCCTTCAAACTATATAGATTGTTCAGAGGGTGTGAACAAACCCTGAGGTCATATGTAGGCCAGACCAGATGAGCACAGTTCTGAGGAAGGCTCACCAGATCCGAAACATTAACTCAGTTTTTTCCTTCACAGATGCTGCCAGACCTACTGAGCTTTTCCATCAACTTTGTTTTTGTTCCAGATAAGCACAGATTTGCTTCACTGGAAGGCAACAATGAACCAGATAGGTTTTACAACAATCACCAACAGTTTTTGCAATCTCCATTACAGAGTCAAGCATCCTATTCCGGATTCATTAATCAAATCTAAATTCCACCAGATGTTGTGGGATTTCAACCTATGTCCCCAGAACATTAGCTTGGGCTCCTGAATTACTAGTCCAATAGCATTACCAGCTCTCCTCCTTGGAGGTTTGTGGAGCTGGAGCAGATTAAAGAGATAAGAAGGAACAAGGCTACAGAAGGATTTGAATTTAATAAGAAGAATTTTATTATCAAAAACTGTTACTTGGCTGAGGGCCAAAAAGCACAATGTCATAGGTGAACAGGGCGCGATGTGATTTAAGAGATGGAAACCTGAGTTTCCGATAACTTCTTGTTTACAGAGGATAGAATCGGGGAGACAATCCTGTAATGGGTTAGAAAAAGGAGGTACCAAAGGATTTCAGCAGCAGATGGGAGGAGATGCAGCAAGGCAATATTACGGCAATCAAAATAAGTGATCTTAGTGATGACTTATTAATCAACAGATAGCAATGTTTTGAACCACTCAGACTTTTCAATGCGTCAAAGAGATTTGAAGTGTCAGCCAACAGATTGAAAGTGTGACACATGCAGAATTTTTAAGATCTTTAGTGACAAAGATTGATGTGTTCTTTCTGATACAAAATGATGGTTGACCCAGATAAATAGAATAATGCACAAGACTGAATTTAATTAAAATGAAAAAATCTATATCATTCCAATATGTTGTTCGATTTCACAGATAAAACACAGGATTGTTTTATTTTCAGGTTTAAAAATACATCACCTAAATCATGATGGCGGTATGTCAAGTGATGCATACATTTATTGTTTGAGCCATCTTGGCACATAGTTGAAATTGAGTTGACAGCTCTTGTGTTGCAATAACATCTCTGATCAGGTTGATTAGAAAATATCTACTCTGAGGAACTGATGATTCTTGTAGCACAATGGTAACAGGAGACCTGGGTTCAAGACCCACCCTGCCCCAAAGGTGTGCAGTAACATCTCTGAACACTCTGATCAGAAAATATATACCTGGTAGAACTAAAGGCACTTTTGATGCAGTGGTAATGTCCCTAACTCTGATCTAGGTGATCCAGGTTCAAGTTCCACTCTGCCACAATCTTGGAACTGATTAGAAGATATCTTGAAATTGAGTTGAATTTGACAGGTCGGGGGGTGAGTTGAGTTGTGGGGAGTAGCAGGGAATGAACTGGAAGGTTGAGTGGGGAGAGTTTCTGGGGTGGGGGTGAGGGGGAGTTAAATTGACTGTGGGGTGGGTTGTGGTGGTGTGTCAATTGGGTTGGGAGTTGGGGTGAGAGGGATTGTGGGGTCTGGGGGGGGTGGAAAGAGAGTTTTTGGCGATGAATTGAGTTGGAGGAGTGGGGAAATGAGGAGAGTTGTGAGTTTTCTGGGTGGGGTGGAGAGTTGAGTGGGGGTGGGGGTGATGACTGGAGAGTGTTGGGAATTTTGGGTGGATTGGGGAGAAGGAGTGGAGAGAGTTGGGGTGAGCTGAGGTGGGGTTTTTGGAGGGGAAGGGTTGGGGAGAGCTGAGGTGGGGTTTTGGGGCAGTTGGGATGAGCTG